ATGGAGACAAAAAAAGTTATAATAATTCTTTACACAGGACAACGACGCTGTCAATATCTGCTCACTTTCAGACTACATTGTTTATCATAATAAATAACATATATTAACAATAGTAATGAGCACCGAAAGGTGGACCTGTGCACTATACAAGTAGCCACTATTATTATTATTATTATTATTATTAACAATAATAATGATATAAGTAGTAACATATAAAGCCTAATCATGATGATAAGCGCTGTTCTATTATTAACCTAATGATTTCATTACCTATTTTACAACTATCATTTTACAACTAGCATCAATTAGGGGCAGTGTTGAGTATTCATAGCTATGCAAAATACATTTGCGGGTATAGAAATGATAAACGTGTCTCAAAAATGAAGAAAAATAATCAATAATTCCGCGACGATGTATCATCAATATATCAACCGTTATGAAAATGCACAAGTGGATTATCCATGTAGACGGACAATGTGTGCATGCAGTCGACTTGTTACAAATTACCATACGTGATCTCGATCCGTCGTCGTTCATAAGCAGGAGTGTGAGGTTCAATACTGAATAAGTCATCACAGTGGCTTCTCGTATATCGTTCATCTCCCTCGCATCTTACACCCGTGTTGCTCCAGTAGTATGACCATATGCAGCATTAGCAAGGCTAATGTTAACATTACTGCTATTATGGTGCTCTAGCATTGGTTAAGGCCAGAAGATGGGTAATATCTCTACGCATAGTAATAACAACTGAATTATTCATACCGTTTGTAATTCTTTTTTTTTTAAAATAAATTGTTCGTAACTCAAGAATGAAAAGTTGAATGGTTGAATTTGGTCTTTCGTTGAATATTCTAAGATATATATGTTAATATGTCACATTCTCACGAAAAATATTTTTTTTACATACGTGAGTGAGCATATTTTACTTATTACCCCCCCCCCCTCTCCCCTCGCTCTCTCTCTCTCTCTCTCTCTCTCTCTCTCTTTCTCTATACTTTTTTTCTTTTTATCTTTGTTTGTCACTTCCTAGATACGCATCAATTTATATTTCAACTTCCATCCATGATCATGTAATCAATTTCAATTTACATACCTCCGTTGCCAAGGTGAAGAGAAGTGTTTTATTATTATCACACTCTGCTGCAACTCCGCTAAATGGAATATGTTAACTCCATTTTGATTCGACATGGTTCCATTTCAGCCATGAATCCGATATGACTGAAACGGAATCCATTACGTGATGAATTCTTATATATCAAAGTTCACAAGTCATTACCCTATAACAAGGAGGAAACACTAATGAAAAACTGTTGTTCTGAGGAAAGAAAGTAGTATGTGGTAGTTTTTAATTTAGACTTTAACCATGCGACATTAAAGGAAATCTACTATTTCACTTCATTTTTCACTAACTTTTGCTGTATTTCTAAACTCACAGGTTAATTTTTGAACCCTTTTTGTTTTTGTTTTTTTGTCTTTAAATGGATTCATCCGAATTTCCAGATACATTCTCATTTTTTATCACATTAATTTTAATTTTCTACCCCGGCCCGGCTTCGTTCATGCAATGGGGGACGCCGCATCAAAGTACCTAACTATCAGTGGCGTATCCAGAAATCAATAACCGGGTGCTCCCCCACCGCCCCCCCCCCCCAACAAAAAAGGGCAGAGTGTCTCTGGGTAGCCCCCGCGTAAATTCACTTTATGACGTATTTTTAGGGGCGGGGAAGTATCGGTGTTGAAACTACGAGAGGGGCTACAAACTGGCACCAGTGGCGAAGCATGGGTCAAGCCAATGAGGTGGCGCTGATATCCTTGGGGCCGCAGGTCTTACCCACCCCCCCCCCCCCAACCTCCCTTATTTTTTAAATTTCTGTTTCTTTCTGTTTCTCTCTTTCTCTCTCCCCATTCTCTCTCTATCGCTCTTTCTCTCCATTTAAGTTTTCAAAGCTTATCAACAATCGGTAAGAGTGGAGGCATGTCACCTCCATGCAACCCCTCTACCTTCACCACGACCCGTTACACTCTTGTCTTGAGATTATTCGTATTTACATGATGCCAATTTCCAAATGCATTTTCCCCTTTTATCACGTTAATGTCTACTTTTCATCCCTCGGCCTCTCCAATGCGACGGGGGACACCGCATCAAAGTACCTTACTATCAGTGGCATATTCAGAAATCGATAAACAGGTGCCCCTCTCCCCCCCCCCCCCCCCACACACCTCCAAAGGAGCAGAGTGTACCTGGCGTAAATCCACCGTTTGCGACCTTATGATTAGGGGCACATCGCCTCCATGCACCCCCTGTATCTACCCCACGACCCGCCACGCTCTTGATCGTCGACACTAAAGAGAGTCTATTTCAGTACTTGATCATCTTCGTTTTATGGCGAGGTTGTGTTAGCCTCGAATCCCCTGGACTTTTTCCAAATGGATTTTTCATGACACCTGAGCTGAGTAATAATTGGTGTGAAATATGACTGGAGACGTTTCAGAGCGAACTCAAGGACTCAATTCCCCTGGCTAAGTAGCCTCTACTACTCAGTAAAAATGAAACAATTATAGTCTACGGAGCGCATTAACGGCACTCTAGAACGACTATTTTCATCAGCAACGACATTTATACTCAAGCGACATCGTACACTTATATTCAAGAAACTCAAGACATTTTTTTTTTAATCTAAAAGAAAAGCATAACAAATGAAATATATATTTACAATGGAGGAAGAATATGGAATCCCCTAAGAGAACGACACTTGTGATGGGGTCGCCCTATACAGACATACATATTAATTACACCGTGATTATAAATATACATACACGATGTATATAGGCTATATAAATTCAGACTTAGTAGCGAACTATACCTATTTATACATTATGCTTCGTTTAGACACATATTCATATAAATATCATTAGATTAAATGCTCAAAGAAAATGTGTCGAGCTTGTTATTCACGGCCTTCTCTAGAAATACAAAGATGTTCGCATCTGTTGCATTACCTTGGACAGGAAATACCGGCAAATTAGTATAAAGAGACACCGACGAATTCGAGAGATTGTATGGCACAGAATAATTGTTGTATTACGGAGTAGGCATACAATTTCATCTTTGCCATACCCTACCTGAGCCTCAGTACAAATGGAATTTTCACGAGCTTAAAGACAACTTTCGTTTCTGGCCATTTATATATTATAATGTAAAAGAAATGATTGAGAAAGGTAAATGATGAGGTACTTTCAGATGATTGAATGTAGATGTCCTTAAATCCTCAAGATGATAATGAATAGACTCAATTTTGTGGAAGTCACATATTGTGAAGAGCACTCCACATTTAAATAAATATGTGGGACTACCCTCACATATGGCATGAAACTTTGATCTAAAATTTTAAAGCTTTTTCACGTCATAATTCGGAAATGAGGGCATGTGAAGAGGAGTACAAGTTCAGGGAAAGATTTCTACTATACCATATTCTTCTACATTGACTTTGGCATTAAAAGAACGAGAACGCTCATAAATTATTGTCCCCTCTTTTCCAGAATTCAACCTTCTCTTTAAGATGAGGCGTAAGAAAGCCATACGCACCTGGTTTTTGGCAATGCATCAAAACCACTTTTCGTATACTGGGGATGCATACAAATGAAACTGCAAAAAATAACGCATAGTCAATCCGTTTCTCCAGTTTATGCTGTTTTTGTATATATAACCTTTTAGCGCATAGCGAATAGCAGTTTCAGTCGAGGTCACACGTAAAAGCATGGATGATTTCTATTCGGTATATTTTGTTCATAGCGTTTATGCATAATACTGGAAAGCACACAGGGATTTTATTTGATATTCTCTTTTCGAGGAAACGTGTGGGAGTGTGCACATACAAGGGATTTTTAAAAACGAAAGAGATCAATACTGTGAAAACTGTGCGTAGATTGGTGTGGCCGATATCCAAAGGCAGTGTGTGGGCGAACGATTTATATATTTTCATTTGCCAGTCTTGAAATCTTATGTTCAAGACTTTGCCTTTGGAACGCCCTGAATCCAGGTATCTGTGGAGAAATGCAATCCCTACTACTCTTACCTGGATGTTCTGTTTTTTCGTAACCACAGCGATTACATATATACGTATTCTCTAGATGATCTTATTTTGATTTAAAGAAATACTTAAATTGGAAAACTGTTATTTTTCATTTATGTTGTCATTCATAATTATTCATATCTCGGTGTCATAAAATTGACGAGTAGCACTAGGCTGAACAAGTCAGCTGACAGAAAATGTATACAAATAAATAATATGCAATGCAATTTTGTTATTATGAACATGAGAAACATGTTACTATGATATTTCGTGAACTATTGTATTTGTAAGTGCATTCTCCATTTGACCATTGTACAACCTTAACCTCTTTTAATTATAAAAAAAACACTCATTTACCGAAAAAAGTATGGTTGCGTCTAAAAGTTTGTTTAAACGTTAGATGCTATGTTTTTTTTAGAATGAGTCACATATGATTTGATAATTGAATCACGGTAATTTGAAATTCACAAAATACAACAGGTAAGGTAATTGACTTCATGTGAGTATAGTATTATGTTAGTAGCCTATATCTCAAGCTAAAGCAGCGCGCACGCAGAACATATGGATTGGTACTACAGATTACATCGAATTCAAGTATCAAAATAATATGCAATGCATTAATAGATCAAAGGTGGAATGAGGGCCGCGCGTGTGTGTGTGTGCGTGTGTGCACGCGGGTGTTTGCTTGCGTACGTAAACTTTATTGAATGCATATCATCGTTCGATATAATAAAGTTCACTCTGAAACGTCTTAAGCCATATTTCACAACAATTTCGTTAAGTATGTCGATCGTAACAAAATACATTAATGTACGTTTTGTATAAATACCAAGTTATTAAGGATTATCACTCCTGAATATAAATTCTAGATTATCTTTCATTTACCATTTGGTTTTTATTTCTCTCTCTCTCTATCGTTGATTGCAGATCTCCATTCACACATCGACGAGCACCACTAGCCATTAATCATCCTCTCGTATTGATCTTCACGACATCTGCGTCATCCGCCCGCACAATCCCAGGAAAAGGAGCGGTAAATAATACTCCAAACACACTCCGGCTCAGATCGTCTGCATCAACACGCCGCTGAAATAACGGTGGTTTTTCAAATACTCTAGATGGTAGTAGCGGGTGGTTTCTTCAAGAACCACGTGAAGTGATTTACGATAACAACGGACAGGAAAAGGAAAATACGACATCTTTATCTCTTGCGTTTTGTGGTTTATATAATTGGCGCCTCGATTTATCGAAGGAGGAATCCCCCTTTTTTCATTTTGTCGGATAGCAACCCATTTCGAGCAGCTGATACCCTAATTGTAAGTGTTGCCTTCACCTCCATTTGCTCACGTCAGCTACAGCCTCGTAAACACCTTGGATGAAACATGGCGATTATGATAATGAGAGCGCAATTTGTTTGTTGTACATGGGATAGAAAGTAATTTCCTTCCTAAAATCACTTTCTACGTAAGCTTGTTTTAGATGATACAGGAAGCAATTTCGTACGTAAAACGATTATCTAAAGTGTCCTTGTTTTTTCTACCATATTCATCAACAAACTAGACAGAATCGCGAGCACGATGATTATGTGATTGAAGTTGGATTCCCTAGCAAACGTCATTTCATCTGATGAGGAAATATGATGAAAGGGATGATATTTCCTAGCTACATGACACAATCTATGAGCCACATCAGCAATTACACGACTAGAAATACTTGTATTGACTTGAAGTAGCCCACATCTTATCTCTTGCCTGTTACAAATACCACCTTCTGTTTACGTCACTCACCGATTTCATTACTCGCAACAAAATATTATATGAGATGTTGAATTGATTTGCGCGCAGCCCACGCAGTTCTCGTGTGTGATTTTTGTTATTTCATGCTTTGAGCCTACCAGGTATAGGTTGTACGGGACATTGATAGTTACAGCTTATTTTTCCGTGCCTTCGCATCTTGAGTTGTTGATATCCAACCATTGTGTGGGATTTTTTGCTTGCACCTTTTTAGAATAAGAGTCTACTTCCAACGGATTTGATGTACACAACGTGAGAGACAATTTGATTCCTCAACATGGAAGATCAAAGTTCAAGTGGCAATGACATCCCTGGGACATCCTATGGTGATGGGACCAATGGATCACATGGTCAGAACAAAGCACCAAGACATGTGCCTTCAACGTCAAAGGAAAGTCCGGTCGTAGCCAGACGGAAAATCACGCGTCCTCCACGTCTCGAGAGCGTTTCGGAGAGTGAAGTGAGCAGTTCCAATGTTGAGTCCCCATCTTCAAGTTCAGAATTCGGTATCAGGTCGTACCTTCATAATTTCTACGAGCCAGAGCGAGGAATGCGGAGCAAAGATGATCTCTTCCTTGGTGCAGATCATCAATCGTCCATGAAGAACAATCGCCATGACTCGTGCTCCACGCATTGTTGGAGAAGACGGTGCTCCTGTGCTGCGCATTGGTGGAAAGCAGGAGTCTTTGTCGGTGTTAACATTCTAATCCTTGCGGTGCTAGCCCTACTGATAGGGTACTTGGTAGAACCTAAGCAGGAGATCGTGGACTATCGGGCGGACGTCGCCGTGGTGGACCAGGACAACGCCGCGTTTAATCGCAAACTCGACGCAGCGAAACTTGCTGGGCTAATCATGCTATGTGTTGGAGGATTTATTGTCGCTGTCTCCCTATTGGTCCCTAGCGTGTTGACCTCATCGTCCGAAGGCACTGGTCATCCAGGCGGGGTCAACGTCGATCCCGATGACCATTTCCCACCGTACATGCCCTTGAAGACTACAGAAGACCCTATGGCCGAGGACGGGATACCGTATACCTCTGAACTGTCCAATGTGCAACCTGAAAGGTCAGGGGCGGAATCTATAGTGGCCGGGAAAGGAATGATTAAGGTCCAGGCCAGTTGAAACGTTGTGGTACTATGGAAGGTCTAAAGTTTGTTGAATTTAATTAGTAATCTATCATTGATGAGGTGCTTTTAGTAGGAGACGAAAATGAAAAGGGATGACGTTTTGCCATCATGTCGGTTTTTTTCAAAGAAATCCTTATATTTTCGATTTGATTCCACTTCATTGGGATATGAGAATCACATCATTCCAGCAAAACGACTGGAAATTTGATAAAATCGTTTTTCATACAGTATTATTTTCAAAACCACGATGTATTATTAATCATGTTTGTAAAGCCTCTTGAAATGTTACATGCAGTTGTCTTGTAAGAATGCTAAAGGTAAATTCGAAGCAAGATACAATTTTTTTCTTGCAGAAACCAATTAGGTTTCGTGTGGCATTATGCAAATTTCGCCATGTCCATGTGTACTGTCTTTGTCACGATTGGTGTTGTGCAGACGGGAAAATGGTTTTGTTCTTGCAGAAACCAATTAGGTTTCATGTGGCATTATGCAAATGTCACCACAATGTCCACACTTGATTACCTGTATTGTCTTTGTCACGATTGGTGTTGTGCAGACGGGACATTGGTTTGTGAGCTGTTCTAACGCCAGTTATCATGGCATATGTACGATGTTTCACACTTTGTGTGATAAAGAGTCATATTTTCTACACACTCTGAATTACGAAAAGAAATATGTGTTATCAAAGAGACACATACATTTAGAAGAGTAAAGCCTCGTTCAGATATGACGCGGCAGATCGCGGCGGTTGTGTTATTTTAATGATGACGTAATGTGTGATGCGCTTCACATTTCTGAATCTTATAACGCAGAGCTCAATGAATACGCACAACTCCTTTGTTGCGCGCATTTGTCATTATGTTTACACATTTTAACAAACTTCGGCGGTCATTTTTGTGTGTTTTTTTTTGCAGCGGTTTATCGCGCCATATTTGAAGAGGCCTACTACGACTGAATGTTGTGGCGGATTTGTAGAGGCGTATGTCCTCGATTAGAATGTGTTTTTTTTTACACACTTGTATCGGTTGATTTATTGATTGTCAAAGTTGAGAAACAGCTGAATAAGCTTAGTTATTGGACACGGATGTATAAGAGCCATTAAAGGATGAATGTGATTAAATGTGATTTATTTCATGGACACAGTTTTTACTGTCATTTTGATTGTCTATTGTGCATATTCCAACAGTATAGCTAAAGAGAGATGATGACGAGCAAAGATGAAAAAGGTATGGTGTGCCAAACACTTTCAAAAGACGTGGTTTTAAAGAGGAAAAAAACTAAGAAAACATGTTTTTGGCCTTTAACAAATATTATATCATAAAGTTGTAAGAACTTCCCGTAGTGCTGAAACGTTTACAATCTTTATCAGTATTGTATTTCCGCCCAAAACCAAGATGATACAAGGCAAGCAAAGGGGAAACTGTTTTTAAGATACTTGTTCTTCTGTGATCACCTTGCTATCCTTATATTATGATTAAAGGAATGACAAAATAAATCAAAATTAAAAAAAGAGAATGTTTCCCAAGGAAGGATTGGAATGACGGTCGGCTTAAAAAGGGCATGTACTGCAACTTAATAAGGAAAGAAAAGAAATTAGACCGTGAAAGAGTGACAAGACAAATATTTCCCCTCTTTCTTCGTTGTCGTTTCAGCGTTAGCAGTGTGTTTACGTTAGCAATTATAATGGGGAAAAGAAAATATAGGTTGGCATAACACATCTCTTGATCAAAATCACTGCTAAATTTAACGGTCAACTTCATTTTAGATCAACGAGATGCTCTTCGTATCTCGTCATTGCTTCTGCTTAGGCATTGTATACGGATCTATGGTTGATTTCACATAGAAGGCACCCACGCTTGAAAAATGCGGCGAAGCGTCATCCTTCCTCCTTTTTCCGTTTCCATGGTGATTTTGAAGAGCTCTTCGGGGCATCCGTAGATGCAGAATTTTGAGTCCAACCAGTCGGTACCTACTTGTTGTTGTCACGGTGGACGCCGTAGGTGGAATGATGATAAATGTATCCAAGTTTCAAGGGATTTGGTAATGTTAAATCGATGGCCTCATTTTCCTCAACCATCCTCCTTCCCCATCCCACATATATCTCTTATAAATCGTTTTAAATGTATAATGATCGTTTAGCTTCGTCAAACAAAAAATTGTCTACGTGTCGCAGAAAAAAAGTCGCAACTACTTTCAAAAAATAAATCTAGGGTAATTTAAATGGAATTGTACGTCACCTTTTCAAATATTCGAATATTACAAAGACGTACTACGTAATCCGAAATTGATTTTTTAAATATGCAATAGGGTATTGAATTTGCCCCCCCCCCCCCCCCCCCCCGAGTTGATTTGTCGAAAGTAGTTGCGATCATCGTGTTCAGGATGCAATTTTAATCGTTATTATAAGATAAGTACATCGAATCATGTTGTACCACATATACTCCTGCGAGAAATGCTTCGTGGTCCATTTCTGACACTAACCAAATTCCTAATAATCACTAAACCAAGCACTATCGTAACCCTCCCCCCCCCCCTAACCCTAAACTTATCCTTTAACCATGTCCCAAAACCTATCCTATATATCTGACGAAAATAATGCCTTAATCGATTTTTGTGTGAGCATTGTCGGATCACCGCAATGTTTCTGTTTCTTTAATACTGTGGTAAGATCTGTCCAGACACGTTTTGTGAAAGATAGGTAAAAGAAGTCTTTCTGAAAGCTGAATTGTGTATTTACCCATTTTGTTCCATCATTTAAATTTCTTAAATCATAAAAAATGGCATAACATTGACTAAATACTGGTGAATATCACGAACAACACAAACATGCGTGTCGGTGCAATTTCTAATCTTTTGACGGGCTTGAAATGTAATCATGTATTTCAAGAGGATTTTTTTTTTCGTCATGGGACATGACTCCAATGATATTTTTTCATAAATTATGAAGACAGTGTATGATAAATCTCACAAATTATTTTTCACTCTCACCGGAAACTCAACTTATCTCTAATTTAGGTAAAGCTTCTGCTTCTTCAGATATAACTTATTCCTTGGAAAATAGATCCGTGAGCTACATGTATTCCCATGATGGCTCCATGGTTACCCTGATGCTACTTCTTATGTTGCCATGGAAACGAAAGAAGTGTGGTGCATCCTTCTACATCCTCGAGAAGCTCTAGAACATCTCAAGGGATGTGATTATCATAGAATTTGCCCCATAATAATCCCATTAAACTAATTGTGCATTGACGTTGTCGGTGTTTATCTTCAAGACATTTTAGAAACGATGAGGAGCATACAATTTATTCACATTTTTCTATCTAATACGATTGCAATTAATTTCCAAAAATTGCATATGGAAATGATGTTTAGATGTATACGCGGTACGTATGTTTGATGTTTACACATTTCAAACACGTCAGAGTGTGACGTAAAAAGTTGACGCTGTTAAGATCGCCTCGGGTTGATCTTTCAAAACAAGTTGCGATCGTGTTTTTCTGCCAAAAAACTCGAATAATTTTGTTTGTTGTTCTCTTACCTCTCTTAAAATCGAGGTTAGGTAATGTGTTTCTGTTTGTATTTGAACGGAATTTATGGAAATTCGTAGGATTTATCTGTGTTCTTGTACTTATACCTGTGTGTGTGTCGACACATTACATGTATGTGTCACCACGCTCATGAACAACTGCCTAAAATGAACTTTCAGGATACATTTTTCGAGCTCTAACGCTTTATTTCGTTGTGAATTTGGCCATAGATTTTGTTTCATAGGAATTAAATTACCATGGATATAAATTATTGCTGTTCAAGAATTAAAATGAATCCATTCTATTAAAGTGAAAAAAACATTGTTTAAGACATTGTTCACGATTGAGTTCAACGGATTTTAACACAGAGTTCAACGAATTTTAACACAGAGTTCAATGGATTTCAACACAGCGTCCAACAGAAGGTTGAGTTCAAGTAAAGATGAAACATGATTTGTGAATATCAATGTAGAATTTTCCACTGAAGAAGCCCTTGTATTCGGAATGTGACGAGATATAGCTAGATTACACTTTCATACTAAACATGTGCGTAGTCCGATCTGGCAAACTTTGTGTGGCCGCGACTGACTCTATTTCTTATCATTTTGATGATTCCAAAACATCAAATTATACAGTAATTCCATTGTACTACAAAATCAGCCTATTACATTTGCTTCTAGTCATTCTTGTTAACAATGTATAGGCATGACCAGTGATCGTCTTCGTCTATAACCTTGTTGGCGGGATTCACCGCCAAAATAGTAAGATTCATTCAGATACAGCTCTGCTGAAAAGAGCGTTGGGGCTCCAAATGATTCTCAAAACGGATTGGGGACTGTAAACGTCGCGTACATATTGTATATGTAAAGACAGTGTTTACGTTATCGTAATCATATCGTATTATCTATCGATTTCGTCACCGATTCATTGTAATAACTTGTCTGTTTTATCATCATTCCGTTTGAAATAAATTTTAATGCAAATGCATAATCTCGTGAAATGTTCTGATTATATCCAATGTAAACATTAATAGTAAATCGTTTCACTAAAGTTGTATTTATTGACCAAAAATGGGTTATGTTATACACGCTTAGATGACTGTGTTGTATGAGTTGCTCATATGGAACTAAGTTCATATCTAATACGGATGGACAATAGGGCTTCTTGCGAAATGAAGGAGAGCACTTTCTCTCATTGCCTATCTCATTTCACTTATGCCCCCTCTCTATATATGTTTATTTATTTTTCCTCCACTCTCTCTCTTTATCTCTTTATGTTTTTTCTAATCCTCTCTCTCTCTCTCTCCTCCTATTATCATGATTTATGTATTTTTGCCCCTACTCTCTCTCTCTCTCTCTCTCTATCATTCTCTCCTATGTATTCTTATTTCGGCTCCTCTCTCTTGCTGTATCTCTCTCTCTCTCTCATCAATTACAACCTGGTAATTTTAGATAAGGAACACAATATTTAAAAAATATAATGGTCGAGGAAATCATTACCAAAGGCCATTATATTTAATGTTGTCCTATGGCTTGGCATTAAAGATCCTGTATTGCAATATTAGGCACACTAAATGAGTCTTTCATTTTTAATGCTTTCATGAGGCCACATTACGTTATATCCGAGTTCATTTTCGCGAGACTTGCACTATTGGTGATGACACAAATTTTCTTGCTTTCGATCATGTCGATAATAACGCATGTTTACACGAGAAACGATCCATATTGACCGGCTCATTGCTAGGAGAAAGTATTTCAGTACCCAGAAAGGCAACTGATAATTCGAAAAACATTAAAGTGCTCCAGTTTCGTTGACACGATGTGTGCAAACAGAATCTGTACCAAGACGATCAATAAGGCACGTGATTATGACGTCACAAATAGGGGCCACATTCATGAAGGTATCGCGCTGGTTAGAATATGATACAGGTCAAATGATTGCCGCGGGCTTGGTCAATGGAAGTTGTCCAATCGACCGTTTTCTAAAGCACCATCTTAGGGGGTACTATTAACAAAATGTGACACGGATTAAGCTTAATGTATTTTATAATCTAGATTACAATTCAACCACTTTTGACATTCGGGTTGTCAAATTTATGAAAACCATGTCTCAAAACCATTAAATTTTACTCGAGAATTTATGCATCATTTTTCCTTTAAAAAGATGAGAGATTAAAAATATAAGCGTAGCCAAATGGTGTGTTTACGAAGCACATTGATTATAAAATCAATTTAAATGGCATGAAATGCTTTGAAACCGCATCAGGTGAATATTGATATGTTTGACTAAAGATTACTGATACAGCTTTCGTTTTTTTCAAAAAGAGAAAGGGAAATCAAGTATCAAAAGGGTAAATACATTAGCAATGTGTAGAAATATACTTGAAGGATACGCCGTAAGCATGGGCAGTGATCAGATATTGGACACTGTTGGAAAGTAGGAGGAGGAAAAGAAGAGATATAAATCATAAAAGGCATCTGTAAATGTACATGACAGAGGAGGAAAAATATCTTAAACAAGAGCGAATGATCAGATAAATGCCTCGATTTACCAGTTTACATGCCTCTATTTCCTTACATCTCTGACATGTTCACGCAAGCCCGATAGC